GAGGATGACTAAGGAAACGAAACTTTTGCATCACTTTTATCAGATTTTATTGAATATATGTTGAACCTTTTACCTTTTCGATGTAGGTGAGCTTCTGTTTCTTAATATTCTTTGAGCTTCTTACGCATAAAAATGAAGGATAAATTGAGAGAAGCTGTTGAGCATTTTTGCTGAGCAGATTTTTCTGGCCAAATCAGCAATAAAAGCTTTGATCTTCTTCTTCAAGTTGATCTTCTTCTTCTTACGTAATCATTGGTTGTCTTGTGGAGAGACCAACCCGCTTTGCCCGGTTTTTCTCGCTCATGGTTAGCTTCAGGAATGAGGTTCTTTAATTCGAAGAATTTTTTAAGTGCATAAGTACATAGTACATAGTTTTAGGGATGATTGTGTAAAGACTTTTATTTTCATCTCAATCCAGCTCTTAGACGATCTCTACTCAACATTCTATATGCAAAAAATTCAGTTTATTTCAGTTGAACTTTTAAAATCTTTAAATAAGAGTTAGAGAGGACCTCTGCTAGTCTTCTAATGGTAACATGAAGATTATCAAGTTAAATTATAATCAACAACCTCAACAATGGGAGGATTATTGCATCTTTTTAATTATTTCATACATTTGTATTGGAATGGAATAGCCATCTGTTTAAAATTTTCAAATCTTCAAACTGAAGGTATTTAAGAAAGCTTTCAATTAGAAATATTTTTTTAGAGAGTTACCATTTGCTTAAAAGTCACTACAAATCACAGGCAATGCTAAGAACTCATTCTAAATTTATAGTAGTATAAGAAATACATTCCACGGTCTGATTGGTGAATTTTTCGAGTCTCCACAATCCTCTACTTTTTATTTTTCTTACAGGTTACGATGTACACATATCGGTATTTATATATGTATATGCATCCTCAGAGATCAAAATCTTCAAAGCTTGCATATTCGGAAAAATAGATGTCGCTCCAACTCATTTTAATATTAAAGATGAAATATTTTCGTTGTTTTGTGAGGCTTTTTCTTAATTTATAAAATGCACTTACACATTTTACATTAATATGTCAAAACAACAATATCAAGCGTTTTCCATTTCGCTGATAAATTGCCACTCATTATGGCTGTCATGTTCTTCTCTGCAAAAGTATGTGTATTATTGTTTTACATTTTTATTGTAGTTATCTACAAACCTTCTTATTTTTGTAATTGGCGTTGACTGAACAACTCGCAGGCAACAAGAATACCCTGACACTCCCGCATGCGGTGCGCTCCCTCTTCCAGTCCCCCCGAAACTTGGTCCTCATTATGTAGTTATTATTTCTTATATTCCAACGTATTTTTGTTGTTACTAATCTTCTGCTGCGTTCTCTTTGTTTTTCTGTTTGTTATTCGCTTGTTAAGTAAATTAGTTCATTATGAAAAATTATTTATTTACCTGCGAAGCGTATAAGACTTGAGAGCTCAGCGTTGCATCAGCGTTAAATCATTAAAATAAGAGACAAAAGCTTCAAGTTGTGGAATATATTATATTATTCTTTTGTGCTTGTATATATAGACGAGTTTAGCAACTTCTTGGATTATTTTCGATACTTTTTGGATTGTTTTGATACCCTGAACAAGGTATATTAAGTTTGCCACAATGTTTGTAAGACCCAGGAGGCAATGTCGGAGACCCTATAATATATATATATGTATAAATGATCAGCATGATGCGCTGAGTCGATTTAACCATGTCCGTCTGGCTGTCCGTCTGTCTGTATATATGCGAACTGGTCCCTCAGTGTTTGAGATATCGGTCTATTGTATATAGCTGTCATACAATCTGCTTTCTCTTTAAAAGTTTTAGTTCAACAAAGTTTTTAACATAACGCAACAGTGCAAAAACAACTTTTAACAAAGTTTAAAATTAAGAATTAAATTAAAAATTTGAATAGAGTTGCCACCTGTTTATATATTTAAAACCAATAAAATAGATGAAATAAAAGCAACCTCAAAATATTAGTATAAAGCAGACAAATTAAAAAAAATTGGCACTAGAATTTTTAGAAGCTTTTATAAAAAATTTATAAAATGAGGTAATTATTATAATAAAGGTATCAAACTAAACTAGTTTAAGGGAGAAATATTTTGTAAATTATTGCAAATATCAAACTAAAGATTGTATTATAGAAGTCAAAGCAAGGAATATATTTAAAGGGAGTTGCCACCTGTTTAAACTTTTTAAACCAATAAAATATATAAGATAAAAAAACTTTTATTATTTCAAAAATATTTAAAATTTCAACTTGCCGCTAAATATATATACAACTAGAAGGTGTATATACATACTAGTATGTTTGTATAATTGCGAAAAAACAATGAAATTACTAACTCAAATGGGTTCCGTAACATTAAACATTTCAAAACTTTTGCAAACATGTTTTGCATATTTGTTAAAGTTATCATTGAAAAGGCTCTCCTTTTTCATTAAGTGTCGATGCTAACTATGCTAAAAACTTATAATAATACCAACAGAAACAACTGTTAACAAGCCAATTAAAATGCTGTTAGAAGCAAAAAGCAATCGAGAAATATATATTCATATGTATGTAACATAACAGCAAACATCCAAAATTGTACTTTTTCAAATACGACACAGTATGGTTAACAGTTAAACATACGACTACTGCGTGCATAAATAGCTTGAGAAGAGCAAAATAGATCGTAAAATGATTTACATATGTACGTACTATATACAAACATATACTTGTACATATATTAGTGCAATATGTTATTACGTATTTGCGTGTAGGCTTGTGATTTTCCATCAATTTATTTACCAACAATTACGCCGTTTTAATTTATATTTTATTGCGAAATTTTTATCAGTCGCCGGTTTTAAGCTTTTGCCGAGCTTTTTTCTGATGGCAAGTATGCTACTACTGCTGTAGAGATTTGAAAACGCATTTACATAATTCTCACTCCTCATACAGAGATAATTATTTATTCAATTTTATTTCTCTGTATAAATTATCGCTTTATTGCAAGCGTGACCGAAATGTCTCAGCAATCTGTCTATATGTGTAAGTTGAGTGTTCCTTTGTTCGCTGGAATTAAGGCGAGTGGCGCATGCGCAATCCACATAGCAATGTAAATTGAGTTTTATTAGTGTGATTTATGTGTGCTTGGTTGTCTCTCTTTTCGGAATTTGTTCTCAAATTCGCCAAAATTTAGATTGAGCACAAAATATACCAAAATAATAATAAATTTCGAAAGATTTTAAATTTGTGCAAAAAATCTGCATAATTTGGTAGCCTTCAACTTAATGGCAGATTTTTATCAAATTATTTATTAGAATTTACAAAGTTAAAACAAATATTATTTAATCCCCATATATTATAATATTTTCTTTTCCTTTTTACTCCACAGTATACGAGATTAAATTTTTACTTTCCGAAAGTTTTATCTCACCCCCTTCCTTCCTCGTTGTTATGGTATCTTTCGATGATACAGACGAACTGGACTGCATCATAACAGTTTTATTCGGAATTTTTTCCGCTGTATGTTATATCCTTACACAAAAATTTTCCCGAATATTCGAAGGATTTTTCGAAATTTTCCGAATTTTGTTTTTCTTTTAAAGGAAAGATAAAAAAGTTTTATCCACAAAAAGTTATTATCTAAGACAAATCGCTAAAGGTTAGTTTCAATCGATATGCCCATGGTACGGTTAAAATTCTTGTCAGATGCCAGTTGTAGAAATTGTTGTGAACAAGACGAGGGAGAATCGTCGCAACACTTCATTCTTGACTTTTTCGTAAAAGCTAAAACGCCTTGATCTCACATCTTAATAGTTTCTTCACAAACTGTGTTTAGCAGTCGAAGTGTAATTCCCATTGTGATGCTCAGCCATATAACTCAACCTAACCTCACATAACTATTGCTTTGACACAGATAAATAAACTGTAAGTGTATGTTCACACCTGAAATTAATAGCCAGCATTTTCTTTCTAATAGCCAGCATTTTCTTTCCCTTGCTGTTTTAAGAAGGTTCAAAATAAGAAACACCTAGCATTTGTTAGTTAAAATCTTGTCCGATTCAAGGACTCTATCAACTTTCATTATTCAATCGAATTTACAAAATGTTATCATTCCATGAATTTTATTGACGATTACTGAGAGTTCGCTTGAGCTGATAAATCAGAAAGAAGCTGTTGACGTGTTACCTCTATAGTCTTTACTAGTATCCGCTAATACAGGTTCAATTCGTGGGTTACTCCAAACACAGCTGACGGATCGAACTGTCATTGCTTGCCTAGCAAAGATTTGTGTCGCACCCACGGTTCTCCACACCTTATACAATAAATAAAATGTCAATTTTACTGTGTGACAATAAAATGTAAATAAGCCGAGCATTTAACCTCGCGCAGGTAGCGCACAGTTCTCCCTTCAAGCCACGCATATCAAAAAAATACATCTGTCGTATGTATATAACGATGTATGTATATAACGATAATGTATGTGTGGTATAACTTTTTTCAACGCACTGCGGAAACAAATCTGGACCACTTGGCGCACGCAGGCAATACAAGTGACAACAGTCACACAATCTCACACAAACACAAACGCGCATGCGTAACGCTTGTAAAAGCAATCAGCTTTCTTCCGAAATAAAAGAGGCGACTGAGTGTTGAAAAATAGAGTTGTTACACGCCTCAATCAAATGTGCAAGCTCACGCGAGTCGTGTGTGGCTTTGGCCTCTCTGCTCTTTTATGTGAATTTCTTTCTTTGTTGTTGCCTTTTTCATAGAAAATTTCAAATCGCCAGCGAGTGATAAGCTCATTCAGCGTCAAAAATGTTTTTTTAAGCGTCTGGCGGCGCATTTTTCACTGCATGATCATATCAGCTAAACGAAATGCGTAAAAGCTTGAAATATTACGCGCACATGCAATATAACTGTAAAACTGATAGATTTACCTAACTTTCAGTTTGAATTTATTAGGTCGCACAGGCAAACCAATTAATTTGCTTTAATTTATCTGTTTTTATTTTATAGCTAAGCTTTTTATACATTATATGCACATAAAGAGTATGTAAGAAAAAATATACAAAATAATAATAACTATTTTATAACACATATACCAACTCATGAAAAGCAAATTCATTGAATTTAAGTGCAATTTTCTAAACTTATACTAACTTAAAGTAATACACTTGCGTCTGTCGCGACTTCACAGTTTCGTTACCTCCACTTCGTCCTTCTTCTTTCGTCCTATGCATGGGAAGTAATACCATTTCTCATCGCTGCAGAAATGCTCGCCGTCCAACAGCGTCTCTGGCAGTTTTCTACAAGAAAAAAGAAAGCAAAAAAATTTAGAATTCTCTAACATAACCTCAAAAGCTTATCAACTAACTGATTCAGCGTTTCCGGCAGCAGCAGACACAACGCTGCGCCGATCAACATTAGCACTGCCAAAACGATTGAGGGCAGCGGTTTGAAGATGTTGCTCAAATAGATGACATAAGCGCTGAGGAAGCTGAAGGCATAGCCGACGACGTGAATATTCGCCATGCCGCGACCCCGCACACTTGTCGGCACAATTTCGGCGGCGTATTGCGCTTCCGCTTCGTACGAAACAATCGCAATATAACGGCCCAGGCCAACCATGCAGGCCAAAAAGACCGCATTCTCCTTTAAGTCCAGCACAGCGAGTAGTACACCCGTTATGGCGGTGAGTATGGCGCCGACGAAGAGCGCGCCACATGCCAGGCCTTTACGTCCAATGCGATTCTGCAGCAGTATGATCGTGAAGCCAGCCGGTATATAGACGATCGATGTAAGTGAAAAAAGCAGGAATGGCGAGGAGCCGAAACCCTCCATGTTGCGACTGATAATGTCGTAGGAGATCGTGGTAATCATGCTGGAGTAAAGATATATATTTAGAAAATAAAGTATTTGCTTCGTGGCAGCGTCTACTTACGACTTAAGAAATAGCACAATGGTGAATTTGCGCAAACGTGGCGTTCTAAAGAGGCCCATGAATGTGTCTTTCTCTTCTTTCTCCTTGTGCTCTCCCGCCATTTTTTCCTCATAATATGATATGAATTGATCGAAATGCTCCTCTTCGACTTCTCTCTTATTAAACTTGGCCACACGTCTGAGGCAACGCACGGCGCCTTTGTAGTCACCTTTAGTGGCCAACCACTGCGCGCTCTCGACTATAAAGAGCGGGTAGATGAGCACCAAAAGAGCTGGCAGTGAGGCGATCAGTAAATATTTACGCCAACTACCCACCCATATAGCATACCAGGGTGACATAACCAGACCGAAGAAATAGAAGAACGCCATAATTATGTTGAGGCCGAAGGTGCGCTTCTTTGGATCCAAATACTCAAAAACTAATAGAGAGAGCATATAATAAGACACTATAGATATAGTAGAATAGTAACTCAACGCAAAACTTACCCATAATATAACTCATATAGAATAATGTGTCGATGCTCAGACCTGAGATGAAACGACTAGCCGCAAAGGCATGTGGTGTGGTCACAAAGGACGTTATGAAATCGCCGGCAGCACCTGTAATTGTAGTTAACATCATCGTTGGCAAACGTCCAATTTTATCTGCGAGAAAGCCAAACAATATAGTGCCCAAAACTGAGCCCAGATATAGGAAAGATTGTCCAATTGCTCCCTTGACCGCATCATCGCAGACCCATTTGAGCTAAAAGAGGGATCAAATTAAGATATTTTTATACAAGTATATATTAGCAGATATTTATTTAAAAAGCTTTACTATTTAATTCGGCTAAAAGCACACTTCTTCAGACTTCAATAAAGAAGTTTATATGGCAATTAAAGAAGAATGCCATGAGACGAAGAACAAGATTTCCTATTATTTTGAATAGTAGTGCTCATGTGCGGATCAATGAAGGAGTTGCACTGTAAATGACTTTCAGACAACGGTCTAATTTAGTCAACTAAAAATTGCCTAAAGGGACTGTCTAAAACTCGAAAAGCCAATTTATAATAAATTAGAGCTTTGTCGCATTAGAAGCATGAAACATTAAACTTACATCGGTGGTTACGCTCTCATAGCCATTCTCGTATTTGAATATCCAGTCTTCGCATTCGCCAAAATCCGACGCGACAGCCGTGCCATTTACAATATCATCCAAGAGCGTACACGAGGGATTCTCTACTTGCGAGTAGATCTCGCGAATTTCGGTGTATGTGAGATTCTCGAGCAGCTCATGATTACACCTGGTTGTGTTGAGTAGAGAAAATATTATGCAATTATCTGGCAATTTGCAAGACAAATTAAAGAAACAATAATCTTCCCTCTTTTGCTTAAATCCCGTGAGCGAACAGCAGTCGTAGATTATGCAAATATTAATATTTCAATTATTTGCATAAAATTCGAATTGACACAATTCAAAATTTTGAATAAACAATTAACTTTCGTGTGTTGAACTAAATGAGCAAACAGCTAACTAGCGATTAAAATAAAATTGGCTATTTAGAGTTTGAACATTGTGTCGTAAAAGTGTTTAGATCAAAACGTTGTTTGCTTAAAAGCCGCCAGGTTGCTAATTTGAATTTATAAACTTTTTGATTGTTTCAACTATTTTTTTTAAATTTTACTTTTATTTATAATTTTTTTATGTGCTTTCGAGTATTTATAAAACTTTTATTTTAAAAAAATTAATACACGTTTCATTCATAACAAAAATAGAGTTTTATGAGTTTATTTTTAATTTTTTAATAAAAACTCATCAAAATAAAATTAAAATCATTATTATACCTATATTATACTAAATTTTCTAGGCGACTTTTCATAAAATTTTATTCTTAAGTTATAAATTTTTAAATATTTTTTTTAAATATTATTTTCGAACTATTTTTTTGTATTGTCCCAATGTGTATATATTATTAAAATATGTACCATAAATGTATAAACGATTAGCGTGACAAGCTGAGTCGATTTGATTATTACCCAAGGCAACGGTGCAATATACGAAGAAATTGTTCAGATCGAGTCACTATAGCATATAGCTGCCATAAAAACGTACCGATCAAAATCAAGTTCTTGTAACCGAAGTTACAGTTTTTTCTTTTTTTAATATTTGTAAAAAGTACTTAATTTTTATATTTCCACCTCTTGAATAGATTTTTAATTCATGCTTTTTAGCTTTGTTAAAAAAATCGTTATGAAATTTCCTTCTGGACCAAATTGTTTTTCAACACTATAAAAAAATGTAATACGCTCGTTATTTACTCAAACTTTTTTGAACTAGCAAACGATTGTTTTAAGGTTATAATTATTTTTTTAGATTTATTTATTAATTTAATTTTTGCTTTGGAGACGTGTTTGTTTACTTTTATTATTTATTATGGTATAATGTTTTATTTGCTTATATGTTTATGGAAATATTTTCAGTAATTTTTAGTAACCAGTTTCATTGAATTCAATTTTTATATTATTATTTTTTTTTCTTTTCCATAAAACATTTTTTTTTTAAGTTAAATACACATCATTACACACTGTCCCATATAAACCACAGTTTTATATACATATGTATCGGTATTAATATGTACATATATGTGTATGTCTTTCCCCAAGAACGCACAAAGGCTCCACTCACCAATGCTCGGGTGTAAAGCTTATGATTGTTTGAGCGAAATAATGCATCGAGGACATTATATTCGTATAGCCATAGACGAGCGACAACACTAATTGATAGCGACCATAGTTGCCACATTTCTCCAGCAACGCATCGAAATCCATTTTATATCACTCGTAGATACTATCCTTTATATAAGCGCAAATATTTAAGAACTCCGATTTATTCTAAGTTCCCACTTCGAAATACACCGCCAACAAATAGTATGCGATAGAAAGAAGGAAATAATATTATAGTTGATCCGTATTGGCAAGGGCAATATGCCAAATCAGCGGTCGAAAGCAGACTAGCAGCGGCAAATAATTCGTTTTGGTTATGATCACTTCCAAGGCGGACTTAACTTTGGCCAAATATTTGCAAATGATCATAAAACGTCTAGCTCAGCTTCGGCCAGTTCGCCGCGACAGAGCTTAGCTTGGATGTTTTCTCAGCGCAAGCAGCTAGCTCTAGTTTTTTTGCTGTTGAATTCGGCAAAGTCTGCCATAACTAGTAAGCAACTCACGCGCTTAAATTAGCGTTGATTTGATTTGGTTTGTTTGCGCACCGAAATAGATCGATCGACGGTTAGACGGGCATCTCAGCTGAGCTTAGCGGTATTGCTTTTAAAAGCTTAGCCATTTAGGTGGTAACTAAGGCTGTGGCACGTGTTAGCGTCATGCATTATGCGTCTGTAATATTTAAAATACTAAAAGATCGCTTTAGACATTAATATTTAAAACATAGCATACCCTGGCACGTGAACCTACATTCCAAACATTTTTTCCTACAAATTAGTGATGATTAACACGATCAGTACGTTAACTACTGCCTTGAGTTCTAATAGTTTGGTAAAGTGTAAGACTGTTAGCGCTGTAAAATTGTACGAAAAATCACATCCTCTTTTTAAAAATTGTCTGCAGCTGCAAATGAAATGTCCAAAGACCCGTTACTTGATGTAAAAGAAACTTTGCCTAACATCTCTTGAAACATTCTCATATAACTATTACGACTTTTTTAATCACTTCATTATTCCCTCCGTGGTTATCAACAAAATAATCACAATTTAAAAAATGTATTCTTATTTGTTGAGTGTACTATGGATATGTTATCAGATCTGAAACCCTTCGAAGTGTGGAACCATCGCTCCTCGTCGTCCACATTATTAGCAAACCCATCCACAATTTCTAGGGTTATGGTAAATCCAAGATTTACGTTCATAAGCTTCGCATTCGCAAAGTTGTAATGTAAATTTTATTACCCTTTACCATTCCGGTAACTGTCGGTCCGATATTATGCACAATTCTATACATGCAGATTCCTTTAGCGCGATATAGTCGACAGTTCAAACTATGCAGCACCTCCAATAAGCATCCATAGGTTTCAAAACCTTTCACCTTTGATATCAATGGGACTAATCTTGAGATGAAAGTATTCTACAGTAATGCGATTTCATATTTCCTAAAACCTTGTAACATTTTTTGTGATCATTTTTTGAATACAACTTTTGATTTTCAAAGATGTGGCAACCTTCCCCGTTTTTGTCTTTCAACCATTAATTAAACCGAACTTTCGAAAAAGTAAAATTTAAATCAGACCACATTATGTGAGCGAATTATATATTTCGAACGTGACGGAATTTCGTTACGCAACACATTTCGTTGCAGTCAATCGATTTTACTACAATGTTTTAGGATGTTTTCTTTTATCTTGTTTTATATATTTTTTGAGTTATTTAATAAAGCTCTTACTTTTAAGGAGTTTCAAACCTCTTTTCCATGAATATGTTGTGGAACTTTGGAGCTTTTCTAATACCCCTGTGTATTTGTTGCGCTCAGGTACAAAAAAGCTAAGGCCAGCGTTTCTGCTTAACTAAATAAATTTTCAAAACAAAATATTTATTATTACAATATTTTTATGTATTTATATGGCATAAATGTATGTATATATGGCGCACAATCACATTTTTATTTAAATTAATGTATACGCACATGTAAATTTATGTACTTATATTATTTACTTATTATTTATTGATTTTCTAAAGAAAAAAATTTATGAAAATAATTGCATATACATATATATGCATACATACATATTTGTTCATAAATACATGTATGTAAATATTATATGTAGCGAATCGCAAACGCATTAAAACACGTCAATAAATGAATGGAGTTATTTCAAGTGTTTTTCTAGCGTAGAAAGCTTCCTTATGCACAAGTAAAATACTTCTGCTGATTGGCGTATAAAAAATGGGACTCCTTCAAATATATTAACGCACATACACAGTTATGTGATGCTTATAAAATCAATTGTTTATAAATAAAATTAGCACAAGCGTTTATAGCGAGGCAAAGCGGAGAAATCTGTATGGGACATAATGAATTTATCACTCAATATATATATACACACACACGCACACACACAGGTGTAAGCCAGTCATAGAGTTCAAATTAGATAAGCAAATTGTTTTTGATGAACAAGTTAAGTTTTCAAAGTGACTGCTGACAGCCGCTGGCACTCGATAATTGTTTGCATGAAATTTCGACGATTTATTCGCCAAAAGCACGGACCCCTTGCGACTACGACGTCTGCGGCCACTTTGCTATTTATATTTGCAATATTCGAGTGTTTCGCATGAATCACAGTGGCCTCTATATTTCTGATTAACACTTTGGCGAACGCGAATTGGTGACTGCTGTGGCTGGTGGCCGGTGGTGCAAACCTTTTTGGCGTTTTAAAAATAGAACAAAGATGTCGGGTTTTTGGCAGGCGGGATTTCGAAATACATATGTATGTATGTATATACAGTTATTTGAGAATGGTACGCAAGTAATTCGCAATACTGTTGACTGGAATATTATTATTGTATAACAGGAAAAATTTCAATTTTTGAATACATTTTTCAGTTTATATTTTCAAATTAACACATATTTTCAATTAATCCACAAATCGAGGCAACCGGTAATTGGCTTATGCCAATATTTTATCATGAATAATCTGCGCCTGTTTTTCTCAAGTATTTTTTTTTGAACTGCTTAAAGTGAATATAAATTTGCATTTCACTTCGAAAAACCTCACGTGAGCTTAGTTTCTAGTTTAAATTTGCATGACAAATTCGTAATCGAAGTGTGTCTAAAAAGATTTCTATGGAGAACTATATGCTAAAATCAGTTTGTCGGCAAACTGTTGTTAAGCAGAATTTGTTAAATAAATGTATGCAAATTTCAAATTAATCCTATGCAAATTGCTAATTTGTTAGATTTTTGATATTTTTTATGATTTTACTAATTTAGAATGAATTCGAGTTAAAAATCTATTTCAGTTGCCTTAAGCAAATTAATCATAGTATAATATGCGGAATATATGTGCATACCATAAATATCAACACATCTGCTTATTTCTGTAAATCACGGACATCAACAAGCGCTTCTTCTTCACAAAAAAAAATGCGCCGTTTGCTTTATTAATTGTTTTTATTCGATTGTTGTCAGATTTCTTGTTTAATTAGCATAGAGAGCTAAACCACCGTTACTAATTAGATCTGGCGTTTAGTAGCAGATATAAACTAATAAAAAATATAAAATAAAATGCTAACTACTTGTTTTTATGAATGGGTAAATAGAAAGAAGTGGCACCAAAAACAAAAAAAAAAGCATGAAGTAGAAAACAGGCGAGCAATTAGTTGTCGTGGAAACCCCGACACATGAACTTAGCTAATTGCAAATCATTAATTACTGACACATAACAACACTCGTGATTTTTTATGGGAAAACAAAATATTTTTATTATTATTATTTTTTTTTTTCATTTCAATGTTTTGTTTACTTCTTCTACTCTGACAGATACGAATTTAGGTATAAAATTAGGAATTTAGGTAATAAAAATCACATGATATTTGCATTTGAAAACGTTTATATTTGTTATCATTTAATGTCATTAGTGATGCACATGCGTACATACGTTTGTATATATGTACATATATACTTCAAAATACATAAATAAACTACTTAATTAATTGAATATGGAAACAAAAAATTAATAACACATTTTAACTTTTTCCCATAAAGTTGTGTTTTATGAGTGAAGCGTAGCACCACAAAAACCGAGCTCTGAAATACAGTGCTGTGCATGTAAATAGTACCGCATTGCACGCAATTCTTGGTAGTGCTCTCTTTCCCTTGCTGTGAAAGCAACAACAAAAATATCCAGTGCCCTTCAACACCAGAAAACATATTGATACCTCATTAAGAGGTTAGGTAGGTAGATAGGGTGGATGTCTGTCGACGCTCCTAGGCCTTTAGGAGGCCCGTTGTAAAACTACCGACACTAAAATCGCCTCACATTATTATTACCTCTCTGAACCACCCTGTGATATTGATAAAGTTCATCAATACAAAAAGTTTTTTCTGTATAACATCCGAAAAATCGTCAAGACCTGGAATATCATTGTGCCATGGAACTTGGAACTCATTGCTGGTTTATCGTGAAATAGGATGTTAGATCCGCTAATACTATACTATATATTATATAATAAATACATTTCTTGTTGTAAGCACATTTCACTAACGACGCCAAGTAATTTCCACTCCTTTGTGCGTGTAAAAATTACAATTGAATTGTTACATAAATACAATGTATTGTACTTTGACACTCCCATTTTCCCATTTATATATTAAGTATTTCTTTTTTTAATTTTTCCGCTTCCATTGTGACTTTTAGCCCCTCGAAGCATTCCCTTCTTCACCGTTCGCTGCATTTTGCGCTCTGTTTGCGTTCTAAAACCTTCACACATGATTACCAAATTGTAATTGTTTACTTAGTGTCATTCGCCTGCTGTTGCATAAGTCACATTTAAATATCATCAGAAATTTGAAGGCCAACATTATTTTATGCAAATTAACTTACATAATTCCATTGTACATATTTACAATGACATCAAATATTATTGTTATTATCGTACAATCAAAAAAGAATACGCTTCTATGTAAGCGCCCAATTAAATATGCATAACGCATTACGGTTGTCTGTCTGTCCGCTTAAATAACTTGCGCGGGAGGAACGAATTTGTCGTGTCGCTCACAAAGAATTGCCGATTTCATAAATGAATGCATTTGAGTGCGCGTGTGTCGCTAGTGTAATGGAATGCATTCGCACGTATTTCTGTTATTATGGTATTTTCGCCAATATATGTTTGTATGAATAAAACATTTATATAAATGGCGATTATTTTAATGAGCGAGTATTTTTGGTGCCTTCAACAACACTAAACAGACAATTGATATTCGAATTTGTGCTTTTGAGGTGTAGCTGAACTAGTGGCGACCAAAATAGAGTAATTTTATATGGTCGTGGAAAATATTTGGACAACTAATTTGGCATTTTTGTTCTAATTACTTCTCTAGATAAGCATATTCTAAAAAAAACATTTTTTATACTGTGTGTTGCCAGATCATTTTATCGGAAATTGTTCTCTAAACTACTTATTTTTGATGATATTAAAGGTTAAAAATTACTATACCAAAAAGTTTGGATTTCATCACAAACTATGCAAGAAAACAATTTTTGAGTGAGTGAGGGTATTTCGCAAACAATTATAATATTATTTGCCGGAAATTATTTTATTATTATCTATCTTTGGGAATCAAACGCTCGCAAAAACAATTTGAAATCCTTTGAAGTAATTTTTTCAGATATATTTCACAATTTTTCAAGTTTCTGAAAGATTGGTAATCCCATATTTTGACCGCAGTTATAAATTAGCCAAAAAAGCTCTTTCGGATTATTATAAAACGTCGTTAAACACCAGTAAAAGATAAAGGGTAAAGATTAACCAACCAAAAAAGTGTATCGTATATTGACTTTAACCTCTTATATATAATATATATAGAGAGAGAGAGTTCCATTTTTATGAAACTACATATTTCCAGACACTTACTCGCCTTAATAATTATTTTGACAGCTGGTTGTTATCAGTAACTTTGACAGCAGCTACTTTCATTAATGACTTTGGCAATTTCCATGACCAAAAAAAAATTATATCTGGTCACCCTTTCAACAATTATCTACCGCATCTTGTTGATTTTCACAATTTTTACTGCATATTTCTCCACCGTTGCTTTTCTTATCAGTTCGTTGAGTTCAACAGCTTCATCATAGTTCATTTCTACTGACTGAGCACACTGTGTTCATGCATTGTTGTATTATTTAAACAAGGATTTAGATAGAGTAGGTTTGTTTTCTCTCTAGTGAACTTCACTGAATTGTAGTGAGTGTACTGAGAAATTTCACCTACTCCGCGATACATTAATTAAAAACTACTAAGTAGTTGCATAGAACAACACACACCTACAAAGAGTCACAGATAATTCTTTTGCCTTCAAATTGTCTCTTCCGCTCTGCTGATTGTTGATTACCACTGTCGTTATTTACTGTTTGACATTTGTTGCATGGGGATGGTGACAAACAAAGGCACAAAGTTGACATTAAATATACACGAAGCACGAGAGAGCTCTGAAATATCAAATATATGTATAGCAGTATTGTAGTAGAAAATGTGGCAGTTGTTTTGGTTTGGAAGAAATCGCTTGAAATGATAAGTGCAAAATTGAGTTGTAGACTTAAAGCAATTGTATATGACAGCTGTCAAGCTGTCAACTGTCAAGCTGTCATGGCCCAAATTAGTATCTTTGATTTAGCATATTATTTGCTAATACGTAAGCAATACTTTAATTTAATTGGAAGGTTTTGTTATATTTATAATATTTGCATATTTAATAATTATGGTATTAGTGAAATTCAAATAGCTTAACCCTGATTGGTTTTCAAGGTTAACATTGCCAAAACATTCAATTCAACATATCTTTTTTATATTTCTTTACGCTTTTCTATGACTATTTTGTATACAATTCTCTTTATCATTTCTATTCATTGCTTCTTAAAGCTT